AATGATGTTTCGTTTGCTCTTATAGAGCTTCCAGAAGATATAATGTTAATTGAGTTCAGAGTAATTTTTATATTTTGTATTGAGCATATTCCCAGGGCCCAGAAAGGAATGTCATGTCACTGGGCATCAACTTCCCTTGATATACATGCTCTTGACATGGGGAGGAGTAAGAATAGTTTTTCAAGCCCAAGAGAAAACATGGAAACCAAAACAATCTCAGAGGGTAGAGGGGAGAAAAAAATAATTGCTTAATGTTAGGGTGGAGACTCTTTTAAGAGTTTCTTCTGACTACCATGCTTAATTATGTATGATAGTAAATTAGGTAGTTAGCTAAAAGAAACTGAAAAATAAAACTACCTCCCAAACAAATCGGTGTCTCCAAACTTTAAGGAAAGAACACATGAGACTCTCTGTTTGGCTCCTATATTAAATTGCTATGGCCAATGAATTATGGCCATGAAAGCATATTTAATCTTAACAAACAAACAAAAAAACCAGAAACACTTCTAAATAGGCTCACCTATTTTGAATTCAGGAGTTCTATAATTATTGTTGATCCTAACTTTACAAAATAGTTGATGTAGGTGAAATAGACAAAGAGAGTGAATAAAGGATGAGTAAAGAACTTAAAACAATTCAATTTCTGAAGAGGACAAAATCCAGTAAGAGCTACTGACAATAAACACTTTGTTTTCTTTTTATGACAATATGAGGGAGAAATATAGGAAGCACAGAAACATACTAGATTTGATGAAACAAGAGAATTATGACATAAACTGTTGAGAAAGTACTCCGCTAAAGAAATGTCAAGGTGTCAAAAGAAAATAAAATGTATTTTTGCAATTTAAAGGAGAAAACAACTGTATTGTTGAAGGGAATAGGAGAACATTGAGAAGTTGCCTCATATTTCAACAAGGTAAGCATCAGGTCTTGGAAAACTTTAGTAAACTATGTAGGCTGCCCCCACCTTCCCTTTCTTTCCTATCACTCACAGAACACAGATTTTCCGTTGTTATGACTATATTAGCCTCCTATTCATCCTAATCAGAAAGCAAGAGACAAAAGATTGAGAAAAGTCAGACCTCTCTATCCTGCTGTCCCAATATAACATTTCTGGCTTATTATCCAAATACAATCAAATCAACTTTGCCCTCAGGTTTACTGCAATCAAGGTATTCAAGCATCCATTCCGAATATGCCTTTCTTATTATTTGTTTACTAACAACTCATTCCTTTAATAGCCAGCACATACATGGACTGATAACAGATTTTGTTTTTAAATAAGAAATGAATGGATGATAAGGAGTTCATTAGCTCAATTACAGGAGAAGAAAGCATAGAAAAAGAGAACACTAGAAACTGAAGACAGTTATTTTACAGTTTTATCTAAAAGGTATGTTTTGTCCAACTTCAAATATCTCTTGAAGCATTAGCAGCAATAGCCAGCAGTGCACAAGAACACCCCTCAGTGAGACTACCACTTTTCAAGAGTAAGGTAACCTGACTGGAATGATTCATAATGATGTTTTAAAACAGTGGATCTCATATTAAAGGAGATTGCTCCTAGAACATTGCCTAAAAATCAATGCATTACTATAATTATCCAGTTTAACTAAGAGTGACAATAAAAGACCTAGAAAACAGAAAATAAACAATTTTAATTGTAATGTTAAGTATAACAATTTTAATTGTAATGTTAGTTTCCTTCTACAGAATACAGCACAAGAAAAATTGTTCACAAATACCACAGCCTGGTAAAACACGTAATTTTTAGAACGAAATGTATTAATTATACCATATGGTCATAGAAAGAAACATTAGGGAAATGTAAATGAGATGGGGTAAATGTTTAATGCCAAAAGTATAAGCACATTTGATAAATATTTAATAGCTCCTGTCATTTACCAGAATATTCTATTTTGAGCACCCACAAAGGAATACTTACAAATACAAAACATGAAAATTGTTCACTTCCCAACATAATTTTTAAAATTAAAATCTACAGTCAATGTTCAACATGTTTGATAACAAGTAGTAAAAAAATTACGAATACCCTCATATTCAAAAAAAATTACCTAAAAGAGAAATCACAGTATAACTAATGATATGGAAAACGTTTTTCTATATTAAGTTTAAAAGCATTACAAAACCTTACACTCTGAGTTATACAGGCACTTAAAAAAAGAGTAAATGTACACACCAAAATGTTTATAGAAATTTTATCTTAATGGCAAGATTACAATGATTATTGTTCAATAATAAATGGATTTCCCTCTGTAGGTACAAATTATCTAGCACAGCTGAAATTTCCCTCTCAGAAACTTTATTTTAAAACAAATCTACATTTTACTGTCAGATAAAGTAATTCTACTTTAGAGTAAAATGTGTCATTATACATAAGTACAATTCTTCGTTTCTTTCCATGTGCTTGGCGATTATAAGCACATAGAGGGAAGACAGTCCAATTAAAAGACCATAGCACATTTTGGTTTCCACTGAATTAACAATACCAACTTCAAATTTAAAATTATTTCTTGGAGGAATTTATCCTTTCATCTTAACACTTTTATTTATGTCCAGAAGGGATCAATTTTATTCATTTATTCCCCCTTTACCAAGCCAAATACATTTATTATCAGCTGCTACAAGAAAATATAGAGGAAAAGCTACTATCCATCACTAAACATTAAAACCTAGGTGGAGGAGACAGTGGGAAACACTTCTACTTCTTATTGGTTAAGAGTATCCTTAGAGTTTCAAGAGATTAAAATATGCTTTCTAATTATTGGCAATTTAAACTTAAACTCATCTAGCCCAGAGGTTCTCAAGCTTTGACACATGAGAACTTCCCAGGAAGTGTGCCAAATATAGAAACTCATGGCTCTAGTTCTCACCTACATCAGAATCTTCAGGGGATACTGTATTTAATAAAAGTCATCTCTATACCATTTCAAACTGTTCTAATAACTCTAAGACAAGTTCTCAATGTAAACAATGTTATAATCAGAAAGAATTACAATTTCATAATCCATACCCATTAATTTAGCCATTCTTATACTCTGTAAGAGTCTTCAAACTACTGTACAATTCAACAAAACCACACATGCACTACAGAGTAAAGCGAGCCCAGAGGCACCTGTGCCTGCAAAGACAAAGGCATATCCGATTGGTGGAAAAAATAGACAGCAGATGTGACCCCTAGTATTTATCCATTAAAAACAATGTATCCTAAAAATAAATTTCCATGTCAACGGAACAAAGCTGTTTATAAATAAGAAGGAATGTGGAGGTGTGGGGAAGACAAGAGGAAGCTTCAGCAAGTTAAGTACCAAAAGCCAGAAAACAAGGCTGAATGAATGGTAACGGGCCACAAGGAAAAAGAGAATACACTAAGAAATGGAAGCAAAGAGCTCTAGCCTTAGAATCCCAAGAAGTTGGGGGAAATGAGCAGATGTTGGAGGATAATGATCTGACCAGAAATGCAAAATGTAAAGTAAGTGAAAAGTGGTGTGATTTTGGACCCCCCCACCACCAAAAAAAAAAAGAGGGAATTGAGATTAAATCAATTGTTGGCATAGAACACATCATGGGCATAGATGGTAAAAAAAACCTGATACTGGTGAGCATAGCAAATAAATTTTCAAAGTAATGATGAAGCAGGAAAAAAGAGAATTGCATAGAAAGAAGAAAGAGATGTCATAGGAATTAGAAAACAAAACATTAGTAGGAAGGAAAGAGAACTTTGAGCAACATCAACAGAACAAGTCACATTACCTTATCAATCATTTAAAGCAGTTATTATCCCTTATATTATCTCATCTGTAGAGTACAGAAAAGTATTTTATGTAAATGTAATACTTTTTATATAAGAGGAAATGTAAATAATTTGACAAGAGGCTGAAAAGGGCAAAAACAGGCAGAGAGAAGCATGGGTAAGAGGGAAAAGTGAAAGAAAAAACTGGGACAAAAAGGAGGGCAACAGAAATAAATCAATCAAACCTGTGTTTTAAAAGGCGGTAGGAACAAAGTGAGAGGTGCAAATGCACAATGGAAGACTACCCCAAAACTGCCAGAAGGGCAAGTGAAACCTGATGGAATCCTGACAGTTTGAGGATTCAGAGAGTGAGTAGCTCCAAAGCGTTCAGGATTCGTGGAGATAATAGATGCCAGGGTTCGGGCGCGGGGGAATGATGTAGAGGGCCTCAAGAGGGCTAGGTGAGAGAAGTGCAAAGACGGGCGTAAAGCAGCAGCTGAGGCTGGAAGGCAGGCAGGTCAGACATCTGGTCAAAGGGCGAGGCGGCAGACGGGAATGGGATGCGGGATTACCAGTAAGTTACAGGGCACTGACCAGCAGTAGGAACGGGCGGGCCTGAGACCAGAACCGAAACAGTAGGATCCAGGGTTGAGAAAGTAACAATTAAATCAAAATCCCGTCCGTTGGGTTAAACAGGTGAAAAGAAGCCCCCACCCCCACCCTCCAAAGTATGAAAGTGTAAGGGAAGGCAGTGGCCTGAAAAGGGGGACAGTCAGGGGCAGCACAGAGGCAACGACGCGCCCCATCATCCCCATTACCATGTAATAATGACACACGGTAGGACCCGGCCCGGCCACCGACCTACATCTCCCACCTGGCTGACGCCGCCCCCCACCACAAATAATAAAAGCATCCCAGAGATGCCGAGCTGGGATGCCTCCGCCGGCGGTGACCTTCTCGGACCAACCCCAAGTCTCGCCCCTTCAGGATCGCCTCCCGCTCACCCATCGCTGCCCGACTGCCCCCATCCGGGGTGCCGGCCAGGGAACCCCCCGGGCCGTGGTGTGTGCCTGCGTAGCGAGGAGCAGCACGACGGAGAGGGACACCAGGGGATGCCCATCTCCCACCCCACGCAGCCCAGAGAGGGAGGCTGAGGGCACCGAGCCCCCACCGCCACCGCTTCCCCCCAATAAACATCAGCCCCGAGCCTGGACACAGAGGGGGAGCGGGGGGTGCCGGCACTCACCTCCTCGGGAATGGCAGGGTCCGCAGTCGAGGAGGCCGCGGCGCCGGCGCCGGCCTCGGGCTCCATGTCCCCGTTGAACAGAGCCTGGCCCTGCTCCGCACCGCCGCCGCCGCTCAGCGCCGCCATCTTATAACCGAGCGCCGGGGCCCGACGACCGCTGCTGGGCGGGGAGGGGGAAGGGAGGCGGAGGGCGGGGGGAGGCGGAGGCGGAGGGCGGGGGCGGCGGGGAGGGCGGCCCGGGCGGCGCCGGCGGCGGGAGGGCGCCTGGGCCACCTCAGGAACCGGCCCGCGGCCCCGGCGCAGCCGAGCCTGAGGGGACGGGGGGGGAGGGAGGATGCGAGGCGGGGGGCGGGGGCAGGGGGCGGAGACGACGAGAAGTCGCCGCGGCAACGGCGTCACCCGCGTGTCACGGTCGTGACGTCACCCGGGCCCGTGACGTCATCCTAGGCGCGCCCTCGCGCCGTCGGCTGGGGAGGCCCGCGGCCGCTCCTGCCCACCTCAGAGCGCGCCGCTTCCGCCGCGCGGCGGTTTCCATGGCTGCGGGTCCAGACTTTCTCCGCGTCTCCGTCCGAAGCCGCTTCTGCGATGTGGGGTTCGCGGGAAGCGCCGGGTGGCGGCGGAGAAGGAGTGGGAATCCTAGAGGGAGCAAGACCGGGGAAGCCCCAGCCGCTTACGTTATTTCATGACCGCGAACGTCCCTGTCATGAAAATAAGGCGTGAAACCCCCAAGCAGAATTTGATAAAAATGGCTTTTAGGAACAGCTAAACTTCCAGAAGGATGCTTCTATCCTTTTCATCAAAGTGTTTGGCCTGTCTCGTGGGTCTAAATGCAAGTCGAAAAGCTGCCTTTTCCCCGCCTCGTGGACGACTGATAGGTTTTCTTTTACTGTATTTCTCGTTTTCCAGAGTCAGTTCCCAAATGTCAGCGAAGCCCTCACCATGCGCAAGAGTCTGCAAAAAGGCACACGTCATTCTAGACCTCTGAAGCATCCAAACTTGAATCTTGTATATTCAGGAAAATCGTTCAGGATAGTTTAAATACATTTGTGCCTTTTATAAGCACAGTAGTCCAAGGCATTCTCTGTAGCACATAAGTATGAAAACAAGAGAGAAAACGTAAATTCCTTTTGAGAAGCTCAATGACAGAATTGAATTAGCTAAAGAAACCCACTTCAACATATTTACAGGAAAGGGAACTACACTTGAAGGGAGGACTAAGTGAGAAACACAGTGCAAGTTGCCCTAATGGTGTGCATTTAATCACCAAAGTCACTTAAACATCAAGTCGTGAAAAGCTTTGAGTAGACTCTGCAGTTTTGGACTTCCCTTGGAGAGGGAAGTCCCCGTGACCTCCCTATTGTGTTTGCGATGATTCAAGAGATAGAAAGCCGTCCTATTGACATCTGAAGCAGGATATCTGCAGATTGATAGGGTCACCATGAGTCCAGAAGCTGATCCTTACTCCCAAGGTAAGGAGTTAAATGTAAAGCTGCTTGATTAATCAGAATGCTAGTATTCCTCTCTATTGAAAACCAAAATACAGCCTGAGTGAGCTTTGTTAGCTTCATTGTACTTTCTCTTCCAAGAAAAATCTCTTTGAGGAACTAAATTTAAATCAAAAGCAGGGTAAATGCAGGTGATTTTAACAGATAATGTGGTTAAGCACCCCTTTTTACTCTAAAGACAGAAGTCTAAGCAAACTAAATTAGTACCATCAACCAGTCAATAGCATCTTTCCCCTTGATTTCATCAGAAACACAACTGACAGGGTTTTTAATTCTCTAACTGTCCTATTTCATTTTTCAAATCAGTCTCTAAAAATACTACATTATTTTATAGTACTTTCTCCTAACATGAAAAGCCCTAAGATTTGTCTTCATTGGTTCCATTTTAAATTATAGCTTCCTTTATCGGCAACAATGTTGATCATATCTTACAGGTTATTTATCCATAGGGTGATTGATCTCACGATTTAATATTGATTCTTGTTAGTTTCCATTCATTTAACATTTTCTGACCTTCAAATTCTAGATATATCTTATTTGATTTTCCTAGGTCATTCTAAATTCCCACACTATTCACACGGGAAAATAAAGAGAAAGCACAAACTTTGGAATCTAAAGATCAGAATTTCAGGGTCAGCATGCCCCAGCTTGGCTATAAAATCTCAAAGGAGGTAAGTTCATATCCCTGTTTGTTATTGTAGTTTTAATGTATAAATTGAGGTGGTAATAATGCCACCCAAACTACATATCACTGTGAATATTAAACAGTATAGTTTTCCCCTCTACAAAATATGAAGTTACCTTCTCAGTCAGAATTCGCACAAGACATAGTAGAAAGGTTTTGTCTCTTGTCCATGATGTCTCAGACCTTAGCTGGGAAGACTCAATGACTGCGGGTGTCTCAATGGGTGGCAACTGCAATAACCTGGAAGCAAATATCTTCACATGTCTGGTGGTGGAAGTTTGGACCTCAACGGGAAGTCAGCCACAACAGCTAATCATACTCTTCTCCTGTGCCCAAACCTCCTCATAGCATGCCTGCTTCGGGGTAGTCAAACTTCTTACAAGGTGACTAAGGGCTCTTGCTAGTCTTGCTATAAACAAAGTGAAAACTATGTGCATTTTATATCCTAGCCTCCAAAGATACACAGCATCACTTCTGTGCTACAGTAAGTCACTAAGCCAGCCCAAATTCAAGAAGGGGGAATATAGATAGATTCCCCCCTCTCATTGAAAGAAATGTCAAAGAATTTACAGACTTCGTTAATTTATAGACAGGTCTTGTTTAGAATAACAAACTGCCTTACTCTATAAGAAGTGGCTGCTGACTCTTATCTTCTTCTAAGAGGCTTCTTCACTCAAATTTGCCCCCTTTTATTACTGGGGAGCACCAAAACATATCCCCATATGCTAATGAAGAGGCCCTGATCTTCTTGCTTTAGTTTCTGAGGCCCTTACTTTAGTTTCCTTGGCCATTGGACACAGCCTTAATTATCTCCTCCTGGGCACACCCCTACCCCCCAAATTACAGTGCTGCCCAAATTGATATGCTGAAACTTCTACACAAAGCAGTTGCACAGTGTTCTCAGAGCCTGTAATGAGCCAAGCGAGTTTGTGTTCTGAGCAGAAACAGAAAGAATACCTTCCTTTTGTGTTGTGTGTCATATGGACACCAAAGCAGGATTATCTTGTGTCCCCCAAGTTTTATAGACATTTTAGTCAACACAATTCTTTTAGGTTCTGCTGACAATCTCCTTTCCCGCTAAGGAATTTGTGTATTCACAAAAAACTGGAAAACAAATTTACGTGAGAAGCACGATTCAAAACATTGTTCCAGTTGATGACTGGGAGGCTATAAAGAAGCCTTGCTGATATATTGGACTCTCTCTTCCCTGGAGATGAGTTTATTGCCACTTGGTGTGTCTATCTTGAGTTCTATATTCTGATAAACACTGGGTAGTCCATCTGTCAGCCAGACTTGCCCTTCCAGGTGTGATCCCACATTAGTATTGTCAACTGCTAGAAATCAAGCAGCCTTTAAGAAATTTCTACAGCTTCAGTCACATTCAGTGACATATGACTGATCACAGCTTAATGTTTTCTGTGTAAAACCAGGTCATTATTGTGAATAACACAACCTATATAGTTTATTTTTTAAAAGATTTATATATTTATTTATGCATGCAAGAACCAGGGTACAGGCCAGAGGTGTAGGAGGTGAGAGGAGTCACCAGAGACAGAGTTGGGCACAGAACAGGAGGATCTACTGCAATACACTGCTGAGGGGAGCAGCGGGCGAGACAGGAGAGGTCTGCTGTGCCCTATGGGTCACCTCCCTGGCTGGGGATCGAACTCGAGCTGCAGTGGCTGTGGATACCTTCATAGTGCTGTGTCTTAACCCCTTGTGCCACCAGGGAGGCTCCACAACCTATATAGTTTAATAGAAGGCTAGTCTCAGAAACCTATTAATAGAAGGCTAATCTCAGAAAGTAATTAAGTATGAATAGAAAATAAAATCATAGATTTGATCCAACATAGTCTTCCCACTAGCCAGCACTTGGAATTTTCTTTGTGGAATTCTAGACTCTTCAATTACTTTAGGGATGGGACTTCACTAATACAGTAACATTCTACTGTATTTTATATTTCCAAAAGTGAATTGATAGCCTCCTCTTTATGACATCTATATTCTGGTTTTGGGTTTTGCCTTCCAAAGGCACACAAGACAAGTCTATTTCTTTCTGTGTTACTGCTTTCAAATACCTGAAGAGAGCTCTGTTTCCTTTAGTTCTTTCCTTCAAACATTTTCTGTTTTTCCCACGTACTCTTTTCAGTGTTCCTATTAAAACATGAATTGTTCCAGGTTTGGTTCAGTCGACAAAGAAAACAATCTCTGATTGCAATTACCTAGGAACCAGATTTTATTAATTAAATGAGAACTCATATAGCAATTCCACCCCATTATTGGTACGTATGAAGTTTGTAGTCTACAAACTTTTTTTTTCTATAAAAAACTTTTTTTTTCTATAAAATGCCATTATTACCAAATCTAGATTTTCAGTGTTACCATCATCATCTCTTCTGCTGAACTTATTCTTCCCAAGTATTTTAATTCTGGAAGATTTTACTTCTAAATTAATGAAATATATTAGATATTGTATTTCTAACATTTGCCAAAAGATATTTACATCGTATGTTATTTTCATCTTATAACATCTTGCTTATACTACCCTTGGGTGTGTTAATAAAAATCATAGTTTTAAAAAAAATTTGTAAATTTGATAATTTGGGATATTAAATTTTTTAAAGTTTGCTTTTATTACAAGTTGTGGTATACTATGTATAGTATACTACCTTGAGGCAAGAAACAAGAGGAAAGTATATATGTATAATAAAAATAGTACCCAAATAAGGAATCAGTAAGCAAGAGTGAAGGAGATTGGGTTGGAGCAAAAGTGAAGGAGATTGGGTTGGAGCAAGACTTCTCTGAGACTATATTTTAATAGAGTCTTACTTTATAACATGTGTACTTTACCGCTGTTTGTGTTATCTCCTTGAGTTTAATAAAAAAGCAAAATTTATGGCCTCCCTGGTGGTGCAAGGGGTTAAGTATCAGTACTCTCAAACTATCGCCAGCCACTGCAGCATAAGTTCGATCTCGATCCAGATCCCAGATCCCTGCCAGGGAGCTGACCCACATTGTACAGCAGACCTCTCCTGGCTCTTCTGCTGCTCCCCTCATCAATGTATTTCAGTAGATCCACCTGTTCTGCTCCCCATTCTGTCTCTGGTGAATCCTCTCACCCTCTCCCCATATATACCTCTGGCCTACAGCCCAGCTCTTATATGCATAAATAAATCTTTTTTTTAAAAAAAAGTAAAATTTAACCAATTGAACCTAATTGTATATCAGATTGATAACATTGCACAGAGAAAATCACTAATTCAAGTAGCTTTGGAATTCTGAGTGTAGACTGTGGTGGATTGATACTGTGTCAGATGAGCTGAACTGGAACTGTCTCCCAGAATTCCCTCCCATCAGGTGAGATCGGCTCACTCCTTCAGTATGTCCCCTGCGAGGGTCCACATCAAACTCTCTTCACTGAGACTGTAAGAAATACATTTGTGAGGGTACCTCCGGGAGGTACCCTTTGTGTTGGCCTCGTCTATATGCCAGAAACGACAGTAGTTACTACTATTTCCATGGGATGTGCTTTTAACTCTGTGGTGAAGGGCACAGGCTTCTCCTGCAGGATCCGCATCCGTGGGATTGTGATGAGAGCCTGAGCCATGGTGAGAATCTGACCTGTCTTGCAGCCCCTCCCTGTGGGTCCCAGCTAAGCCTCAGAGGTTTCACTTTCTCCTTGTTTCTTCCACTTTACCTTCATCTTTCCTTCCTGACTATCTGCCCTGCAAATTTAGGTTCCAGCAGCAGACCCAGAAACACCAGCCTCAGACACACAGAAATGAGATTGTTTAGCCAATTCCACAATTGCCTAAGATCAGACTCCTAGAATAAACTCCTTATTATATTCGTTCCTAGTGCTTCTGCTTCATTAAGTACTGACTGGAATATACTCTAAAAACAAAATGAGCTACAAATAAATTTTTAACTTTATTTAGAAGTTTTATTGTTGGTTTTGTAATTCTGAAGCCATTTGTATTTATTTTGGAATATAGCAAATGAGTACATATATTGATGTTGGAAATCAGGGTGTTACTGTAGAAAATGAAACATATGGAACAGGGGGAGTTGAGGAAGAGATTTGTATATTGGATTTGAATTGGAAATGGCAGAATTAGCATAAAATTTAGGGGGCAATTTACAGAAACATAATTTTTAAAAGAACATTTGTTAATATATGGAGAAGGAATGATAGATTTAGAAAATACAAGTACTGTACACATATCTATATGCTTGGAAGTAATTATATAATCTAGATTTATATTTATAGTAGGTACAGGTACATGTAGATTCATATATTCTTACTCTGCTTACTAAAAGAAGTGTCTAGGAATAACAATAAGTATCCAAAGCTGGTATGTTGGTATGTGGATCTTGATTGTGAAATGTCATTTCCACTAAAAATTAAGAGGACTCCTTCAAGAAATGGATGATTCTAGATCCATTCTAGATTTAGAGGCTGGTGTTTCTGGAGCAGGAAATATACAGGGTGCTACTTGGCATACTCGAGAGCAAGGACATAATAGAATTAGAAAAATCACCACCATGCAACCATCGACGTAATAATTGCTCCAGGTCAGGACCATTAATAGTTGCTAAAACTATCAGTGGGTAAAGACTGCTGGGGGACAGGACAGTCTTGTGGTTTTAGCATACTGCAGCACAGACAAATGTACATTTACAATGGAGAGTTGCTTCATTAACCTGACAAATTTAGCATCACTGATAGGGAGACAATTGAACATTATGTAAGTCCTGATACATGTACTATGTCACTTATGGCATTGGGGCCAAAAGAGCATATCCATGAGGAAAGATGAAATCCAGACATTTAAGACAACTGACTAGCTCTTCAAGATTTCAATATCATGAAAAAACTAGTTAAGGGCAGTGTTGATGTTTAATCTCTAGATTAAAAGAGATTAAAGCAATATAGCAACCAGGTGCAATACATGAAACTTAACTGAATCCTAGTTAGGAAAACAA